CTTATATCGCTTACATGTTTTAATGTTTGAGTGGGTGAAACATACACAATCGGCTCTTTTTTTAAGATGGTTACTGTTGCGAAATACTATGGCAAACGGAAGTTATACGAACCTGTTCCAGGAGTTGAGATTGAGTGGCCATCTGGCACAGTCACAGCTCCTCTTGACACACCAATTTGTGGCTTTCAAGGGGAGCTTTGTATCGAGAAGGGTTGGTATACATTCTCATTATATATTTGTGTGTAATTTTCGTATATACAGATAATATTTTGTACAAGAAAGAAAAAAACATTTGTTGAATATATAACATTTCACCGTTATGAAATTAATTCACAGTTGGATTGCCACACACAGTTTAATACTGCATGATATTTTTGCCTTTAAAACCTCAATCAAAATCAGGGACATAATCATTATTTTATTTGTAATTGTGACATAACTAAGACTGATTTTGTTAACTCACGTACTTAAAGACATGTTAGAGGTCCACGATGTGTTTTCTTTTCCAGAACCGATGAATCCCATAGCTATTATGGCAATTATAATATGCATTGTATTGGTGATATTAATGACGATATCTGCCGTATTTTATCGGTAAGTTCATCAAAATAACACTAGATGGTATATTATTATGTTTTCATTACAAGACGGATGTAACATCAGTCCGAATAAATACATACTATTAGTACCAAATCAAATCTATGTATAGTAGTCACACTCTGTTGATTCTACCTCTTTTAAGGCGATATAAACTCCAAAAGGAGATTGCAGAGATGCTTTGGAAGATATCTTCAGAAGATATTATATTTGAAGAAAAGAATTTCTTAAGTGGAGCTTCTAAGGTATATCAAAAATATTACGTCTACGCAGAAATATCGTCATATCATTACTTAGACATATCCCCACATATATATCTCGTATCCACATTGATTCAAATAAAAAGACTGTGACGAATCACTAGTCATATTATTTATTAGTTACAATTAAATGTTTAGATTATTGGATTTATCCCACATACTAGGAAAAGTGTTCAGGAAAAGCTATCAAAACAGACATTAGTGTAAGTACACGGTAAACATTATCAAATTGTTATCACTTTTTCATCAATTAACTAATGTTGAATAAAGAAAACTTCGATTTTACATAGTTGTTTAGAGTATGTGTCAAATCAACTCAACTCGATCCGACCCGAGCAAAGCTATTGCCCAAAACCTTGACGTTGAAAGAATTTTTTTTAAATTAAGTCAGTTTCAAACCCACATTTGCCCCTTACTTAAATCTAACAATACAAATAGAAGAAGCATTTTATAATTATGTCATATACTGTGTGTATACAGTGTAAACTAAATAGTATTTGTATTTCACCAGGCTTTCATTAAATGAAGTTTTCTTGTCAATTTGTATAAGGAATTGACTACATATACTACAAAATGTACTGCAATATTCATTATAGTTCTTACTATCAATTTATTTATTTATTGTAGATCTCTATACCATCCAGAATAGATGCGTCCGATGAGCAGGTTTTTGCAAAAATAGGAATTTATAGAGTAAGATTGGCATTTGATGATTATTATCTTAACATAATTCAAGTATATAAATAAAGCAATAGCATACTTATATGTGGTGCATTTGTGGTTTTGTCATGGTGCAGTCACAATGTAGTCATGGTAAAGTCACGGTATGCTAAAGGTACACTCGTAATGTAGCCATATTACACTCACAATGTAGCCATATTGCACTCACAATGTAGCAATATTGCAGCCACGATGTAGTCATATTGCAGTCACAATGTAGTCATATTGCAGTCACAATGTAGTCATATTGCAGTTACAATGTAGTCATATTGCTGTCACAATGTAGTCATATTGCAGTCACACTGTAGTCATATTGCAGTCACACTGTAGTCATAATGCAGTCACAATGTAGTCATATTGCAGTCACACTGCAGTCACAATGCAGTCACAATGTAGTCATATTGCAGTCACAATGTAGTCATATTGCAGTCACAAGGTAGTCATATTGCAGTCACAATGTAGTCATATTGCAGTCACAATGTAGTCATATTGCTGTCACAATGTAGTCATATTGCACTCACAATGTAGTCATATTGCAGTCACAATGTAGTCATATTGCAGTCACACTGTAGTCATATTGCAGTCATAATGTAGTCATATTGCAGTCACAATGTAGTCATATTACAGTCACATTGTAGTCATATTGCAGTCACAATGTAGTCATATTGCTGTCACAATGTAGTAATATTGCTGTCACAATGTAGTCATATTGCTGTCACACTGTAGTCATATTGCAGTCACAATGTAGTCATATTGCAGTCACAATGTAGTCATATTGCAGTCACAGTGTAGTCATATTGCAGTCACAATGTAGTCATATTGCTGTCACAATGTAGTAATATTGCTGTCACAATGTTGTCATATTGCTGTCACAATGTAGTCATATTGCAGTCACAAGGTAGTCATATTGCAGTCACAATGTAGTCATGATGCAATCACAGCATAGACACAGGAAAGTCACAGTACAATCTCGGTGCTGGCACAAGTAGTTTCTATATTCATAGTCTACCGCCCTCATAATAGATTATATTCGTGGAAATAAATTCTATATTTGCACAAGTTTGCACGGTTGTCAAGTGTAACATTTAACACAGCAATGTAACCTGAATCAGTATTTGGAAACTAATTGTGACTCTTGACAAGTTTTATTTGTGATTACTGTAAAGTTTTCTAGCTGATTTTGTCATATTCATACCACCTACAAAAATGCACAATTTTTAAAAACTTTAGAAAGTTATTTTTTTATCCTAAATACGTAGGGATCCAGGTATGCCCTCAAGCCAATTGAATCTCAGAAGATGACGTTGAACAAATCAATTCTTTTTGAATTAAAACAGGTAAGTATGTTGTTAATATTTGTTGTGGTGATTCTTAATTATTTTTGACAATTTAGTATATTATATATTTATACTAATCTCTAAAATAAGTGTATTTGAATAATATATAATATATATTGAACTATTATTAATAACAACACATCGTATTGTTGTCGTGATAGCTTCGAGAGATCAACCATTCTAATTTAACTCGATTCGTCGGTGCATGTGTTGATCCATCTTCGTCGTGTTTGGTGATAGAGTATTGCCCAAAAGGCAGTTTACAGGTATGATTAAATTTCTTGTTTCATGATCATCAGACACTTATTCGAAAAATCGACTATACGTAATGTAGTGAATACTATAAGTTTTGTGTGTTTGGTTTTGTTATATTTATTGTATTCCGTGCAGTTCTAATTATCGTGTCTTTGATAGGATATACTAGAGAATGAATCAATTAAACTTGATTGGATGTTCAGATACTCGCTGATCTTTGACATTGTTAAGGTAAATGTGTCCGTTTTGTTACATATGTGGATTATGCATAGGTCTGTATGGGTTTGTATGCATATATTTTCCAAACCGTGGACAAAATGATAGTGCTATTTTATTCCTGATATATATCCGGCAACTGTATTGTTACAATGAATTGCGGTTGGCGATTTCTTTAAGACATTGAAGAGATGTTATTGGCTTAACATTAACGTGACCCTATTGGTGCTCAGGTCTTCAATTAGTAGCAACTGAAGTTGGCTCAGTACACGAAATAGCATCATCTTAGGTGGATTATGTAATGTGAGGCTATCCTGATGTGTGTTATGATGGTTTGCATGTCTGCCAATTATTAGGTTCGTGCATTCGTATTAGGGAGAATCTCGTTGGTCCCGGGAAAGATGGAAGCTGTCCGTCCGATATACTCTTTCCTATCCTCATTGTCATTGCACGTAAAAGATCCAGTTGTCCTTGTCACAAATAGTAGCTTGTGTATACTTAATTTAGGTGTCCCTTATTTCTGAGTCATTCTGTAAATGGACCCCGTGTTTGTTATAGACGTATACGAGGGAAATATGCTTAAAGGGGAACCGTTCAATCCCTTGGATTGCACCAAAGAATCATGGGACACTATTGTTTATGTTGTTTACAATGTTAATCTATCTTTTGTTATCCATTGTTATTTTAATCCAGAAAGTAAATTTGTTGTAAAATTAATCTTAACTGGAAGGTGCCCCTTTAACCGATAAAATGCTGGATAAATCAGAATTATGTATATTAAATAATATGTGTTAATCGTTGTCTTAAGTAACCATTCAAAATAGCCATATGTTCATACAACATATCTTTACCGATAGCATACAAAAAATGGAACCAACTTACGTAGGATCGGTACATCTATATTTAAAAAAAAAGGTTTATATTAATAACAATTACTCGCATTAATGTAACATAATCACATCATTTGACTCCACAACAGGGAATGGAATTTATTCATAACAGTAGTATGAAAACACATGCCAACTTGAAATCGTCGAACTGCTTGGTGGACAGTAGATTTGTCTTGAAAGTGACCGATTTTGGCTTACACGAATGGAAAGATGCCATAGTGGACTTCAAATCTGCAGTCACCCACTCAGAGTACTACAGTAAGTTGATTGATTTTGTCTTGTTCTGTATGTCGTAATGATTGTATTTAAATATGACATTAAGTTGTGACCTAAATGTTTGCATATTATCATATAAACATAAACATGTCATCAACCATATCTCGAGGAGGGCAAGGGTTATTTTAGTTCAACGTAATTGCAATATTTGTTTGTTCATACAACGTAAATTGAAAAAAATAAATTCCGTAATTCTGTAATCACAGGCTAGACGTACAACGTCAACCAAATATTTGTTTCGTACACTGTAAAAAATGGTTCCTTTTTCTCGGTACGTACTAGAATTTTTTAGGTTTTCTTTTTTAATTTTCCGTAAAATGTAAAATAGCCTTTATTTTCTCTGTAAACTGTAAACATTCAATTTTCACTGTATAAGCATCTTTTTTTCCTTGTAAATTGTAAAAAGCCCTTTTTATTTCCCGTAAAACTGTACCAGCTACCCCCGTCGCCCCTCTATCTTTTATGTTCATCTCCAATTGCAATCTACTTCACAGGGTCATTATGGGTTGGTGAAGTAGATTTTAAAATGGCTGACTCGTTTTATGTCAGGAAAAAAACATGTAATGTATTGCATTGCATTATTCTCTTCAATTGTTTTGGGTTTTCGAAGTTTAACAGGAAAACTTTTTTGTCTTACTATTCAATAGTTCTCGTCCAGTTTCCGGACAATAGACAACCAAATACAAACAGGAACCACCCCTCGCCGATGCGGTAGAAATGATATGATACGTAGTAGATTCTTGCAATAACTGCAGTACTGTTTTAAATGCAGCTAGCAAGTGCTGCCGCAGCACTATAATTCCAATACATGCACTTAAGCACTTGGATTGCGTTAGAGGGCAGCATACACAAACAGATACACGAGACACACATTATATTAAATCCGGGACTCTACAATATCACTTATATGAAAACTGGTGCAGTAATTATCATTTGTTCTGAGCCTTTCCTTTAACAGTTTAATACATTTGATTCTGCTAAATGTAGAATGACTCATTACCTTTTATACATTACATTGTGTACTATATCCAGCTCTGTTATGGCGGTCTCCGGAGTTATTACGTCACCCAATAACCAGAGGAAGTCAGAAAGGGGATGTGTATAGTTTTGGGATTATTTTACAAGAAATAATCACTAGAACCGGACCATTTGATCACGAACTGGGGGATGATTGTATGGCACCACAAGGTATGGATTACAAAACAATGTAAACATGGGTTGGTGTCTGTTATAATACTACGTTAATGTATATATAGCTAATTGAGATAACTGTATGTAATTAGCATATGTTACGCTATCTGTGGCACTGTCTATGTGTTAGTCAAGACCATGTATTTCTTTTGTGTTATGTGTTAGTTTTTATCGCGTCCCTCTTCTCGTGTTATCATCTTATTGAGACAGTCTCAGCCTCTTGGCATTTAGACCTAGTTAATATCACCCACATTTTTTAATTGTTATGATCTTATTGAAGTTGTCTCAGTCTCCCTGTGTTATAGAATACCCGAGGATCCTCCACATTTTTGTGATAAAATGCTCCACCTTCTAGGTGTTGTATATATTTCTTATGTCCACTTGAGACTCTGTCCGTTTTATATAACTGACATTATTGTTTTAGAGATCGCGTCTACTTGCACACGATAAGCGTTCATCGTTTCATACATTTTATGCATTCACCATTACATGATAGGCATTCGCCATTACATGATAGGCATTCACAATTACAAGATAGGCAGTCACCATTACATGATAGGCATTCATCATTACATGATAGGCATTCATCATTACATGATAAGCACTTACCATTATATGATAGGTATTCACCATTACACGATGGTATTACATGGTAGGCATTTGGCACAACGTGATAGGCATTCAAAATTACAAGGTAGGCATTTGGCACAACGTGATAGGCATTCACAATTACAAGGTAGGCATTTGGCACAACGTGATAGGCATTCACAATTACATGGTCGGCATTTGGCACAATGTGATAGGCATTCACAATTACATGGTAGGCATTTGGCACAATGTAATAGGCATTCACAATTACATGGTAGGCATTTGGCACAATGTGATAGGCATTCACAATTACATGGTAGGCATTTGGCACAACGTGATAGGCATTCACAATTACATGGTCGGCATTTGGCACAATGTGATAGGCATTCACAATTACATGGTAGGCATTTGGCACAATGTGATAGGCATTCACAATTACATGGTAGGCATTTGGCACAATGTAATAGGCATTCACAATTACATGGTAGGCATTTGGCACAACGTGATAGGCATTCACAATTACATGGTCGGCATTTGGCACAATGTGATAGGCATTCACAATTACATGGTAGGCATTTGGCACAATGTGATAGGCATTCACAATTACATGGTAGGCATTTGGCACAATGTGATAGGCATTCACAATTACATGGTAGGCATTTGGCACAATGTAATAGGCATTCACAATTACATGGAAGGCATTTGGCACAATGTGATAGGCATTCACAATTACATGATAGGCACTTGGCACAACGTGATAGGCATTCACAATTACATGGTAGGAATTTGGCACAATGTGATAGGCATTCACAATTGAAAGATAGACATTTGGCACACATGAGAGGTATTCAAAATTACATGGTAGGCATTTGGCATAACGTTATAGGCATTCACAATTACATGGTAAGCATTTGGCACAACGTGATAGGCATTCACAATTACATGGTGGGAATTTGGCACAACGTGATAGGCATTCGCTACAACGTGATATGCATTCAGAGTTACATGATAAGCATTAACAATTACATGATAGGCATTCGCCATTACATAATAAGCATTCACCATTATATGAAAGGCATTCACCATTTCATAATAAGCATTCACCATTACATGATAGGCATTCACCTTTACATAATAAGCATTCACCATTACATGATATGCATGATAGGCATTCACCATTACATGATAGGCATTCACCATTACATGATAGGCATTCGCCACAACATGATAGGCATTCACCATTACATGGTAAACATTCACCATTACGTGATAGCCATTCACCATTATATGATAAGCATTCACCATTACAAGATAGGTATTCACCATTACATGATTAGCATTCACCATTACATGATAAGCATTCATCATTACATGATAGGCATTCACAATTACAAGATAGGCAGTCACCATTACATGATAGGCATTCATCATTACATGATAGGCATTCATCATTACATGATAAGCACTTACCATTATATGATAGGTATTCACCATTACACGATGGTATTACATGGTAGGCATTTGGCACAACGTGATAGGCATTCACAATTACATGGTCGGCATTTGGCACAATGTGATAGGCATTCACAATTACATGGTGGGAATTTGGCAGAACGTGATAGGCATTCGCTACAACGTGATATGCATTCAGAGTTACATGATAAGCATTCACAATTACATGATAGGCATTCACCATTACATAATAAGCATTCACCACTACATGATAGGCATTTACCATTACATAATAAGCATTCACCATTATTTGAAAGGCATTCACGATTTCATAATAAGCATTCACCATTACATGATAGGCATTCACCTTTACATAATAAGCATTCACCATTACATGATAAGCATTTACCATTACATGATAAGCATTTACCATGACATGATAGGTATGATAGGCATTCGCCATTACATGATAGGCATTCACCATTACATGATAGGCATTCGCCACAACAAGATAGGCATTCACCATTACATGGTAAACATTCACCATTACATGACAGGCATTCACCATATATGATAAGCATTCACCATTAGAAGATAGGCATTCACCACGACAAGATAGGTATTCGCCACAACGTGATAAGCAATCACCATTACATGATAGGCATTCACCATTACATGATAGGCATTCACCATTACATGATAGACAATTTCCATTACATGATAGGCATTCACCATTACATGATAAGCATTCATCATTACCTGATAGGCATTCACCATTACATGATAGGCATTCACCATTACATGATAGACATTCACCATTACATGATAGGCATTCGCCACAACAAGTCAGGCATTCACCATTACATGGTTAACATTGACCATTACATGATTGGCAATCACCATTACATGATTGGCATCCACCATTACATGATAGGCATTCACCATTACATGATAGGCATTCACCATTATATGATAGACAATTTCCATTACATGATTGGCATTCACCATTACATGATAGGCATTCACCATTACATGATAAGCATTCACCATTACATGATAAGCATTCATCATTACATGATAGGCA